CCCTTCTCTATCTCTATTCCAGCTGCCTTCTCGCTTTTGCTCATGAGGCAGGCTTCTAGCTATGGAGCAGTCTATCTGTCCCGTGTATCTACTGTCCTTAGGTGTCAGCCTCATGTTATGTTGTTTTATACTCCACAAATGAGTGCAGTCCTTCTATGTCTGTTTCTCTCTTTCTGACTCATTTACTTAGCATGGTACTCTCCATGTCTATTCATTTTTAAGCAAATTTCATGACTTCATCTCTCCTGACAGCTGCGTAGTATTCCATTGTGTAGATGTACCAAAGTTTCTTTAGCCAGTCATCTATTCTAGGGCACTTGGGTTGTTTCTAGATTTTGGCTATTATGAACAGTGCAGCAATGAAAAAATAGATACAGATGTCATTTCTACTGTGCTTTTTTTGCATCCTTGGTAAATATTTCTAGAAGTGGTATTATGGGGTCATATGGAAGCTCAATTTCTAGTTTTTGAAGGACTGTCCGCATTGTTTTCCAGAAAGGCTGGACTAGTGGGCATTCCCACCGACAGTGAGTGTCCCTTTTCCGCCACATCCACGCCAGCACTGGTTGCTTTTGCTCTTTTGAATGTGTGCCAGTCACTGTGGTGTGAGATGATATCTCATTGTTGTTTTGATTTGCATCTCTGATGTGGAGCATTTTTTCACATGCCTTTTGGCCATTTGTATTTCTTTTTTTGAGGAAACTTCTGTTAATTTCTTCTCCCCATTTTTTGATGGGGTTGGAGGTTTTTTTCGTGTACAATTCTACTAGTGTCTTGTAGATCCTGGATATTAATCTCTTATCAGATAGGTATTGGGTAAATATTCTTTCCCATTCTGTGGGCTCTTTCTGTATCTTTGTCACTGTTTCTTTTAAAGTACAGAAGCTTCTTAGTTTGATGTAGTCCCATTTGTTTATGTTTGCTCCCACTTGCATCGTCAGTGTTGTTTCATCCTTGAAGATATTTTTAGTTTCAATGCTGTGGAGAGTTCTGCCAACATTTTCCTCTATGTACCTTATGGATTCATGTCTGATATTGAAGTCTTTAATCCACTTTGATCTGACTATTGTGCCTGGCATTAGACAGAGGTCAGAGTTCCTTTTTTTGCAGGTAGCTATCCAGTTTTCCCAGCATGACTTGTCGAAGAGACTTTCCTTGTTTCACTTCACATTTCTTGCTACTTTGTCAAAGATTAACTGGTCATATATTTGGGGGTCTGTGACAGAAAATTCAACTCTGTTCCATTGGCCTGCAGGTCTGTTTCTAGCCCAGTACCATGCTGTCTTAATTACTACTGCTTTGTAGTACAGTTCGAAGTTGGGGAGGGTGATGGCACCCATCTGCTTTTTCCCAAGGATTGTTTTAGCTCTTCATGGGAGTTTATTGTTCCATATGAATTTCAGGAGTGTTTTGTCTATTTCTTTGAAAAATGTCATGGGTATCCTGATAGGGACCACATTGAATTTGTATAGTGCTTTTGGCAGTATTGCCATTTTGATAATGTTAATCCTCCTTATTCATTAGCAGGAGATGAATGAGCAGAGGGTTCCCGGAATGGTTCAGCTTTGGGTGCACGCAGTGTGCCTCAGTTCCCGTCCCCTGCAAACCAAGCATGAAAGCCAGCCATTCTAGGGGGGGGGGGTCTAGTTAGATGCGCAGCCCCGGGAAGGCACCCTGCCGCCAGGTAGGTAGTAGGTTTCCTTCTTATCACTAATTAAAAGAACATTCCTATAGATGTCGAGTAGGTCAATATACCTATATATGATTTATATTTTGATGACTAGTATAAAACCCTTATTTTTCATTCCGCTGATTGAAAATGTTTACTTTGGCAACGTTAGATCGTTTCAATTAAAATATTTAATTATACGGAGATTGGGGTGCGTGTGCTCTATACCTTCCTCCCATGAGCTTTAAAGCCAAGTAGGTTTGATGCTCACTAAGGCAAAGGAAGCCCAATCTTAATCAGAATTTCTGTGAGAATTGGTTCGTGAATTAAGCAGTGTGTCCAGCACAAGAAAGTGCTTTGTAGAGTCGAAGCAATAGTGAACCAAGAGTCGAGGAATGGGTGAGTGTCTGGTGCTGTCATCTGTAAGCTTCAGAGGGAGCATGGGTTTTCAAGTATCATAGCTTCATCTAAAAACAAACAAAAACTGTTTTAATTATCCTCCTTTCTCACAAGTAGGATGGGCAAATATGATGTGACCATGAATATTTTCATAATCTTGCAGTCAAAGTTTCAGGTTTACTTGGCCAAGTCATTTTTTATCATACACTCTCTGGCAGTCTTTGAAGGATGTCATGGAACCTTGAGAATCAAATAGAGTCATAAGTTTTAGTTCTTAATGTGTCTATTTTTGTGTATAAATATGAAACTCTAGGCCAAGGTATAAAATGTATTCCTTATGATGGGTTGAGGGAAAAATTGGAAAATAGGTATTATAATTTGATGACATATCGACGAGAGAGACTTTTTCTGTTAATAGTATTTGGAAGTCATGGTTCTTCTCCGAATTTTTAAAACTTCAAGTCCTTAAATAATATAACTAGGCCAATATCTAAAGCAAGTTTTCCTCCAGATCCTGGTGCATTTATTGCATTTCACATTCTTTGAACACTGCTGACTTCAGTGGTTCATTTTTGTGGCTCCAAATTGGGTCCACCAAGGACCCAATGGCATAGTGGCATAGCTAGGTGGGTTCTACTGGAAAAAATGCATTTCAATGATCATTTCCTTCTGCAGTGGTTGATAGCACTGAGCTCCATGACATAGCAGAGTGAACCGTTGAATGATGTGCATAAATACCGGATCCTCAAATTGATTGCCAGAGGTTCACCTCCGTTTTCAGTCTGTCTTCTAGACTGACTCTCACATAGTTTCCTCATTTGGTTCATCATGCAGAGTAATGAGTGACCCTGTGAATAGTTGCATGAATGTAGTTATGGAATCCCTGGGAGGGAGGCAGGAGCTTCAGTGGCTCTGGGCAATTACTGCTTATGGGGTTCCAGTGCCACTTGATGAAGTACCAAGTGCGGCTCACAGAACCAACTGCAGTTCCTGATTCTTCCTTTGACTTTTTGGGGTGAATCCCTGGAACCAAGGAAGAGATTTTGACTTTGAGTCTCCTTTTGCTGTGTTGTGCAGTGGGGAAATTCTCACCAAAGACTCTTTGGAGTTACACAGAGTAGTTCAGTAAACATGAATAAATTAATCACTGTTCATCTCTCTGCTGCTTTCGTGTCTATTGTAGCTTTTCATGACTGTTGTTGAATACTGGCTGGTCCCCTACTGGGATGGGAGAAGGGCCCCTAGAGCAGAAAGCATCCCCGGAGGCTGTGGTATCTGTGAAGCTGAGAGCCCAGCTGGAGCAGAAAGTGATTGGTGAGGCCTGGCAGTGTCCTGAAGCAGAGCCAGCGTCTGTCTATTTTTCTGCAGTTGACACACTAAACTTGGTCTGAGTTTTTCAGTGACGTAAGCTCTCAGCAGTTTCCCGAGTTCTCCGGGGTGCTGTGTTTGGGTTATGGGGGTGTGTCATTTAGATCTGTGGCATCTCCGCAGATACTTTCTGTCCCTAAAGTGACCTGAGAGCGCGGGTCTTCTGGCTCTGCCACTATTTATGGCTTCTCATACTCTCTTTTCTTCATCTGTACATTTAGGAACTGGTGAGTTATTTGCAATTGCTCTAAGCTTTAAAATTTTACTCTTCCCAGGAGTACACTTGTCTGTTGGTCATTAAGTAAATTTATATAACTGGAAACACTGTTTCAGTGATTATTTTATTTCCAACATTGTTCCTCAAGGGCTGCAGGCAATGGCTCAGTGGACTGGAGCATATGCTTTGCCTATCAGCATCTTCCAGCCAAGCCAGGGGAGGGCCCCCCTTGCTCCCACTGTCCCCTGATAAAACCTCCAAAACTGCGTTCAGTGGCCAGACAGTGTAGCAGGTAACCCAACCCAGGTTCGATCCCTGACAAACCTTAAGGTTTCCAGAGCCTTTTCAGGAGTGATCCCAGAGCACAGAGGCAGGAATAAGCCCTCAGCACTACTGGGTATGGCCCCAAAACAGAACAATCAAACAAACAAAAACCTAAAAAGCCGCCAAACCTGGTGTCCATTCATCAAACACATTCAGTTTTGTTGTAGTTTGCTCCTCCAGTACCTTATGAGGGAAGGGCCTACCCAAAATGGGTCCTATTCACGGCTGGGGGATACACCCAAGGGCATGTGTGCAAAAATCTTGTGTCTTTTGCACAGACTGTGGCCGAATATCAGGCTGGACACACACAGAATTGGGGACAAACACAGCCCCATTGTCTGTCTCTCTGGCCCCTGTACTACCTGCCAGAGGGAAGAGAAGGTGTCAGTTACCCCTTCATCTGCTGGGTGCATCAGGATGGTGCAGCAGCCACTCACCGTGCAAGAGAAAGACCGAGTCCCAGCCTGGAACTGGTCATGATGCTGTCCCCAATATGGCTCAGCCCAGACGGTTGTTTGCATCTGCACTTGTACACAGGCCTCTGGCCCCTTCCCCTGCAGGGTCTTTTGAGCACAGGCTGGGAGGACCCTGGTTGTCTTGGTCCCTGGACTCTTTGAAAGACTGGCAGGAGAACTGTTTCTTTCCGAACACCTCTCTGTGATTTGTGATTGGGATGAGTTTATGAGTTTTTTGGGACCTAGTTGATTTACTTTCTTGGGTTGGACAATCTCTTGGTGCTTCCTTTGCCTTTTCAGCTTCCTTGCGAGCGGTGGCAGAGGATTAGCACACAGAAGTGCAGTGTCTAGTACTTAGCAGAATTTGAATGTTAAGTGATTCAACCACTTTTTTTTTTGTGCTGACTTCCCTGGTATCATATTAGGTTATTTTAAATATGTACATATTTTGTATTGTATAAACTAGTATTTTAAATGTCTTTTGGTCGTTGATATGATGCTTTGAAGAAAAAAGATTCCAGAAGAGAAATAATAGATTATTAGAATGACTTTTTTTTTTTTAAATCAGGGTGAAAAGTTTGGACCATTTACTGGAGAGAAGAGAATGCCTGAAGACTTGGATGAGAATATGGATTACCGGCTAATGTGGGAGGTGAGGATGTGATTTTTATGTTCAATATTTTAAATTTTACTCTTTTTGTGGAGTGGGTTTATTTTTTTACTTTAAAATTGTATTACATTTAGGTTACATGTTATAATAGTGTCAGTTTGATTGATGCACATAATTATTCCACCCCCTCCAAAACACCCAGGATGCTACACCTTGTGACCTTCTCTTTATATTATTTAATATGTTTAAAAGGCTTAGTGACCAAATGTTGATTCCACTTAACTAGCATCATGTATAGAAATGTAATTTCAAGGTTTCTGAGTGACTGAAACATTTAGCGTTTGGGAGGACTACTCTTTAATAGCATTAAAAAACTCAAAAAAATATAAACTTCTTTAGAGGCATTAAAAAGAAGCATCTTGCTAGATGATTCTTCGAGAACACTGTTGCTTATAGATTAGCATTGTCAAAGAAGTTTTTTACATGGGACGATGTTTGGATTTTAGAATACCCGTGCTCTTAATCTGCATTTAGAATTTTATTTCTCTAAAAATATTCCTAAACTTTGGCTTTCCAGTTGCAGGTCCAGTTGCATAGAAGCAATTCTTTACCCCATGTTAAATGAAAACCACACCTTAAAATGTTTCTTCCCCTTAAAAACCTTTATTTATTTAAAGGATTTTGACATGGTACACAGTGTGATATGTGTAGGTGGTGCTGAGGAAAAGTATGATCTTAAAATCAGAAAGAGGAAGATACTAGACAGGTAAATTACACACTGCCACCTTGAATGCATATTTAGTACTGAGTGCCTTGTGATAAAGTAAATCAGCAATGTGGAGAAACACTTATGTAGCATAGACTTGGCTCAAATGATTATAAGGGTAGAAAAGATTCTAGAAAGGTTTCTAATGTGCAGTGGAGAGAAAAAAGAAATCATACAATCCTCACTATAATTTGAGAAGGGTGAAGTGTTTTTGATACTGCCTGAATTTAGTCTTGGTGTGTTTTGTTTTGAGGGCCACACCGGTGGTGCTCAGGACTTACTCAGTGCTCTGTGCTCAGGGATCACTTCTAGAATGACTCAGGAGAACCATGTGGGCTGTGAGGGTTCATACCAAGATTGCCTGCATGCAATGCAAGGCAAGTGTCCATCTGTTCTACTATAGCTCTGGCCCCTCTTATTTATTTTTACAAAATTAAAATGTTTCAATGAATTCACTTACTGAGGATTCAGTCCTCGGCACTCCATATGGTCAGGAGTGAGTCCTGAGCACTGCCAGTTGTCATTAAAAAAAAAAAAAGAAAAAGAAATGAAAATTTGGTCATTTGCCTTACACATAGCCTACCTGGCTGACACGAGTTCAATTCCTCCACCCCTCTCAGAGAGCCCATCAAGCTACTGAGAGTATCTTGCCCACATGGCAAAACCTGGCAAGCTACCTGTGCCATATTCGATATGCCAAACACAGAACCAATAAGTCTCACAATGGAGATGTTACTGGGCCTGCTCGAGCAAATCGATGAACAATGGGGGGACAATGATACCGTGCTACATTTTTTTCAATGTAGGAGTACTGCTATTAATTCAGCCACTGATTAGGCTGATTGAATTGGAGTGCTACATATTTTATTTTTTATTTATTTATTTTTTAACCAATATTGCATTTTATTAACCTTCCAGCTGAGTATGGACTAAGATAGGTTCTCTAAGACATTGTTACAGAAAGGCAGGTCATTTGGGACTGAGCAATACCTTGTCAAATATTCCACTATAACAAGACATTTTACAGGGGCAATTTGCTGATAAAAAAGTACCTTTGAGTGAAGTCTCTTCACCATGAACTTTGGCTTGGATCAGCTTGCTATCATATTTTTATGAAATTCTGATTCTACAGTTGTCGTATTTTTCTGTATTTTTTCTTAAGCCCATGTCTTAATATTTTTTATTAAGTTTTACACCAAACAGTCTTTTTTTTTTTGCTATCATATATAGTTTGTTTTTATCATTTTTTTTATTAGTGAAACACCATGAGGTACATTTATAGACTTATAAATTTTTGTGCTTGGGTTTCAGTTATACAATGATCAAGTACCCATCCCTCCACCAGTGCCCATCCTCCCCCACCACGGGTCCTAGCATCCCTCCCCCCCGTCCCCCCCCCCCGCCCCGTCCCACCCTGCCACTGTGGCAGGGGATTCCCCCTTGTTCTCTCTCTCTTCTTTTGGGTACTGTGTTTTGCCAGAGAGGCATTGAGTGGCAATCATGTTTGGTCTATAGACTACTTTTAGCATGTCTCTCCCACCCTGGGAGGGTCTTCACAACACCCTTTATTTGGTGCTCTCTTCTCTATCTGAGCTTCCTTTTCACCTAGCACATGTGGCTGGCCTTCAAGTCATGGAGCAAAATTCCTGGTACTAATCTGAGCCATTCCTGGGTGTTAGTCTCCCATTTTGTTGTTTTATGTTCCCCAGATGAATGCAATCTTTCTGTGTCTATCCCGCTATTTCTGACTCATTTCGCTTAACATGATACTTTCCATGTAGTACCACTTGTATGTAAATTTCATAACTTCATCTTTTCTAACAGCTACATAGTACTCCATTGTGTAAATGTACCAAAGTTTCTTTAACCAGTCATCTATTCTCGGGCACTCAGGTTTTTTCCAGATTCTGGCTATTGTAAAGAGTGCTGCAATGAACAAACAATTGCAGATGTCACTTCGACTATACCTTTTTGCCTCTCTGGGATATATTCCCAGGAGTGCTATAGCTGGGTCAAATGGGAGATCAAATTCTAATTTTTTGAGAATCGTCCATACTGTTTTCCAAAAGGGTTGGACCAGCCTGCATTCCCACCAGCAGTGAAGGAGGGTCCCTTTCTCGCCACATCCGTGCCAGCACCTGTTGCTTTTGTTCTTGTGGATGTGGGCCAGTCTCTGTGGTGTGAAATGATATCTCATTGTTGTTTTGATCTGCATCTCTCTGATGATTAGTGATGTAGAGCATTTTCTCATGTGCCTTTTTGCCATTCAGATTTCTTCTTTGCGAAAGTTTCTGTTCATTTCCTCGCCCCATTTTTTGATGGGGTTGGGTGATTTCTTCTTGTGTAGTTTAACCAGTACCTTGTATATCCTTGATATCAACCCCTTGTCGGATGTGTATTTGGTGAATATTCTTTCCCATGCTGTAGGCTGTCTTTGTATTTTGGTCACTGTTTCTTTTGAGGTGCAGAAGCTTCTTAGTTTAAGATAGTCCCATTTGTCTATCTCTGTTTTCACTTGCTCGGCCAGTGGCGTGACATCTTTGAAGATACCACCAACTTCAATATCGTGGAGAGTTTTGCCAACTTTGTCTTCAATAAACATTATGGATTCCGGTCTGATGTTGAGGTCATAAATCATTTTGATCTTACTTTTGTGCATGGCGTTAGGCAGAGATCTGAGCCCACTTTTTTGCATGTAGCCGTCCAGTTTTGCCAGCACAATTTATTAAAGAGGCTTTCCCTGCTCCATTTCACTTTTCTTGCCCCCTTATCGAAGATTAGATGATTATATGTTTGGGAGGAGTTGTCAGTATATTCAACTCTGTTCCATTGGTCTGCAACTCTGCCTTTGTTCCAGTACCATGCTGTTTTGATTATTACTGCTTTGTAGTAGAGCTTGAAGTTAGGTAGGTTGATTCCTCCCATTTTCTTTTCCCCAAGAATTGCATTAGCTATTCGTGGGGACTTATTGTTCCATATGAAATTCAGGAGTGTTTGCTCCATTTCTTTGAAGAATGTCGTGGGTATCCTTATAGGGATTGCATTGAATTTGTACAGTGCCTTGGGAAGTATTGCCATTTTGACAATGTTGATTCTCCCCATCCATGAACAGGGGATATTTTTCCATTTCCTCGTGTCCTCTTTTATTTCCCGAAGTAGCGTTTTGTAGTTTTCTTTGTACAGATCCTTTACTTCCTTAGTTAAGGCGATTCCGAGGTACTTGATTTTCTGGGGCACAATTGTGAATGGAACTGTTTTCTTCATGTCACTTTCTTCTCTTTCACTATTTGCATATAGGAAAGCCATGGATTTTTGGGTATTGATTTTTTCCCTTTATTTTATTTTATTTTTTTTACAGTTGTAGATTTACAATTTTTTGTGCTTTGGTTTCAATTATACAATGATCAGATACCCATCCCTCCACCAGTGCCCATTTTCCACCACCATGGATAATATCCCTCCCACCCCCATCCCCCCATCCCCCCTGTCTCTGTGGCAGGGCAATCCCCTGTGTTCTCTCTCTCTCCTTTTGAGTGTTGTGGTCTGCAAAAGAGGCATTGAGTGGCAAACATGTTCAGTCCATAGTCTGCTTTCGACATGCATCTCCCCTCCTGGGAGGATCCTCCAAACATCCTTTATTTAGTGCTCCCTTATCTATCTGAACTGCCCTTTCCTCTAGGATACGCGGCTGGCCTCTAAGTTATGGAGTAATCGTCCTGGTGCTGATCTCAGCTATTCTTGGGTATTAATCTCATACTTTGTTACTTTATATCCCCCAGATGAATGCAATCTTTCTATGTCTATCCCTCTCTTTCTGACTCATTTCGCTTAGCATGATACTTTCCATATTGTACCACTTGTATGTAAATTTCATGACTTCATCTTTTCTCACAGCTACATAGTACTCCATTGTGTAGATGTACCAAAGTTTCTTTAACCAGTCATCTGTTCTTGGGCATTCAGGTTTCTTCCAGTTTCTGGCTATTGTAAAGAGTGCTGCAATGAACAAACAAGTGTAGATGTCACTTCGACTATACATTTTTGCCTCTCTGGGATATATTCCCAGGAGTGGTATTGCTGGGTCAAATGGGAGCTCAATTTCTAATTTTTTGAGAATCGTCCATACTGTTTTCCAGAAGGGCTGAACCAGTGGACATTCCCACCAACAGTGAAGGAGTGTCCCTTTCTCGCCACATCCACGCCAGCATCGGTTGCTTTTGTTCTTTTGAATGTGGGCCAGTCTCTGAGGTGTGAGATGGTATCTCATTGTGGTATT